TTTTAGAGACAGGGTCTTGCTCTTGCTCAGGCTGGTCTCAAACTCCTGAGCTCAAGAGATTCACTTGTCTTGGCCACCCAGAGTGCTAGGATTACAGGTGTGAGCCTGGGACTCCTATTCTGTCAAATGGCAGAGATCACCTCAAGTAAGTTGAGGGTGCCCTCACCCCTTGGCGATAGGGTTGCATCTCAGGTCCAGTGGGCTTATGTAGTGCCAAGGCACAGAGGAGGGCACCCAGGTCTCCAATGACATCACCCTGTACTGACCTGCATGGCTGAAGACTCAACATCCATCATCAGTCATTATCGTGTATCAGAAAGATGGACGACGCTTTCCTCCCTCTCCAATAAAAAAAGCTCTGCAGCGACAGCCCTGGGTTAGTAAGGCTGAGTTAGTATGGTGCCTTCCTATACGACCCCTCAGCCACCTACACCCGCAGGGTTCCACCGTATCAAGTCTGCAATCTTGCAGGCGGAAAAGAGAAGGGGAGGAAAATTGCTCAGACACTTCCGAGGGTGGCATAGGGACACGCCCACTCACATACCATTGGTCAGAGTTCAGACACATGACCACATGTAGCTGCAAAGGTGCCTGGGAAATGTAGTCTTATTAGAAGACGCGCACTTGGCTTAAATTTAGGGTTCCATAACGGAGGATGAGGGGAAGAGTGGACCTGGGGGACAACTAGTACAGTGATCAGGGACGCAGGCCTCCACTGATCTCCAAACCCACGTCCCATATACCTAGTATTTGTTACCTTCCCCTGACCAAGACCTCAGCTTGAGAATAGGACAGGCCTTGGGAAGGGACAAGGGGAGAGAAGAAAGGATAAATTGTCCACAACTGGCCAGGACACAGTAGAGAATAAACTCTTTTTTCTTTAAATGTATTTTTAGTGTGTAGTGGCTCATGCCTGTAATCCTAGCACTCTGAGAAGCCAAGGCGGGTGGATTGCTTGAGCTCAGGAGTTCCAGACCAGCCTGAGCAAGAGTGAGCCCCGTCTCTACTAAAATAGAAAAAATTAGTTGGGCATTGTGGCAGGTACCTGTAGTCCCAGCTACTTGGGAGGCTGAGACAAGAGGATCTCTTGAGCCCAAAAGTTTGGGGTTGCTGTGAGCTATGATGATGCCACAGCACTCTACCCAGGGCAACAGAGAGAAACTATGTCTAAAAAAAAAAAAATTACAAATAAATCAATGGTGTGTGCCATCATCCAGAATTCAGTGCTTATTAGTCTCTTCTGTCTTTTACTTTCTTTTTTTTTTGAGAAAGAGCCTCAAGCTGTTGCCCTGGGTAGAGTGCCGTGGCATCACAGCTCACAGCAACCTCAAACTCTTGGGTTTAAGCGATTCTCTTGCCTCAGCCTCCCAAGTAGCTGGGACTACAGGTACCCACCACAATGCCCAGCTATCTTGTTGTAGTTGTTGTCATTGTTTGGCAGGCCCTGGCTGGATTTGAGCCTGCAGCTCTGGTGTATGTGGCTGGTGCCAAGCCTTGTCTACAGGAGCCAAGCCTGTCTTTTACTTTTAATATACTTTTATGTGTCATAAATGCTACAAAGTACTGTACTGCAGGTTACTGAACTTTATATAACTGGTTCCCTCTCAGCACTGTTTTGGAAATGTGTCCACAACGATACCTGTCACTCTGCCTCAGTGATTTGGCTGTGGTATATGATTATCTATTCTTTTGACAAAGAGCTCTTTGCAATTGTTTGCTGTTGAATGATGCTGCAAGTACCTTGTACATTTCCTTTTGTGCATATACAAGAGTTCCTGTAGACCAGAGGTTCTCAAAGCATGGTCTCTGGGCCAGCAACATCAGCATCACCTGGGAACCTGTTCACAGTGCAGATTCTCAGACCTAATGAATCAGACCCTCCAGGGTGGAACCCAGCAATCTCTATAGTAACAAACTCTCTAGCAGCTGCTGGTGTGGGCTAGAGTTTGAGAACTGCTGCTCTAGGGCTTATACCAGAAACTAAGTTGCCGTGTTTGACACCCTCAAATTACTAGATAATGCTATATTTTTCTTCAAAGTTTATACTTCTATCAGAAGTGGAAGTTAAGTATCACAAGAATGGAAGAAAAAGTATCCAATGTACACAGCCCTATTATGAAACTAATTTATAGATCTCAAATGAAAGCTACAACCTAATTCTAGCCTAAGAATATGGGGAGGGGGTAGAGAAGGGGAGGAGAGAAGGGCAAATGGGTGGTGGGAGGGTGACTGGAAAGATCACCTATATGGTCTGTCTAACAAGGGTACGAGTGAACTTTTCTAGAACTAGAGTATAAATGTTTTAACATAATAACTAAGTAAATGACACAAAGTCTGTGTTAACCAGTTTGATGAAAATATTTCAAATTATATATGAAAGCACTAACTGTACCTCATGTTTGCATTAATGTATACAGCTATCATTTAATAATAATAATAATAATTAAAATTAAAAAAAAATTTTAAAAAAGAAGTGGAAGTTTTCTCTCATGTTTGCTAGCCCTTGGTAGTACCAGAATTTAATTTCTTTTACCAAGTGGATGGGAAGTCTAGACTCTGCTAAATTCTCAGTTGATATTCTTCTTTCTCTGGCCCTGGGAATTCCTCATACAACATCACAACATCACACTTTCTCTTTTCTTTTGGGTCCCTACCACGTATACAGCTTTGAAAGCACAAAAGACCTTTATTCTCCTTTCCTGTTGCAATTTCTCTTCCCAGGGCATGATCATTGTGGGCATTGTCACCCTTCTCTGGGGGCAAGATCCCCAGATACAACTTAGTTACCAGGTACTCGATATGAGCCTGCCCAAAGGAATCAGGATCCTTAGTTGTAAGCAACAGAAAAGGGTTTATAGCAGGATGTGCAGGGTCACAGAATCCAGGGAGCTGAAAATGAGGTTTGGGGAAGGAACAGTTCTCATCTGAGAGCTGGAGGCGGGGAAGAAGGAATGGAGAGAGGGGAGGCAGAAAGGCCCCAGCCAGAGCTGAGCAGAGAGTCTTCTCTGTCACCACATAAACCCCATTCCTATGTGTCCCCTATCTCTTGTGTCCCACTTCCAGGCCTTGGAGTCAAGGGAGTGACGATCTGGCCACATTTCAGTCAAGGCCTACCCACTGCCAACATGAAGAAGGGTCAGGCCTTTTCGCTTTCTGTTCCAGGGGAAGGCACCAGGATTTGGCCTTCACCAGGACCTCACACAACAGGAATGCCTCTAAAAAAGAGCTGGGGCACCAGTAGGAACAGGGAGGGACTAGGAGCTGGAAAGGCAAGAATGTCCCCTTTTGGGTAGCTGTGGAGCCTAGGGGAGCCAAAGTGTATAACTGGTTCATTAAATGGTCTGACCTTAATGGGGTATAAACATGAAACAGTTTAATGTTTCCCCAATTGCTGCCTCCAGGAAGCAGCCCTGTCCTTTCCTGTCCCTAATGACACCTGGTCACTTTCTCACTCTCCCCCACCTCCTACCCTAAAGGTCTACCCTGCTGCCTCTTCCTACTGGGCCACCCACCAGCAACCAGCCTTCTCGTGTGAGCCAGCAGCAATGCCACTATGCCTGGCTCCTCCTATGGTGGCCCTGGCCACTGACAACCCCCTCATGACCTTCCTCCAGGAAGGACACACAGGCTGTTTTACTGCTGTCTCTGCCCTTCTGTCTCCTGATCTCCTTTCTCTGATTAAGGAAATATGGGAAGGGCTGCGAACACAAGTTTATGTCCAACTGGTCCTTGTGAGCACCCCTTTCTTTGTAAGGGTTCCCTTGCATCTCCACACTTGGCCTGGAGGTTTGAGAACAGGGAAAAAGCCACACCACCACCTGCTTACCCAGTCTGACAGTTCTTAATTCCCATGAGTGGTCAGATTAATCAGGGATCCTGAGGTGATGGGGTGACACAGACTCGCTGTGAGCCTTAGAGAGGCTCTTTAAGGTTCTAGAGTATTTTTCATCTCTTCTTCCTCAGCCTTCAACTTGCTATCCCTGATGATGGTGGGAGCCCCGATGCGGGTGACAGTAAAGAATGGAGGGAGTAATGTTCAGAAACCAAGCAGGAGGTTGAAGGTCTTGCCCCAGCCATCATGCATGTACACCCCCTACATGCTCAAAAATACACACTCCTGGGCAGCGCCTGTGGCTCAGTGAGTAGGGCACTGGCCCCATATACCAAGGATGGTGGGTTCAAACCCAGCCCCAGCCAAACTGCAACAAAAAAATAGCCAGGCATTATGGCAGGTGCCTGTAGTCCCAGCTACTCAGGAGGCTGAAGCAAGAGAATTATAGCCGGATGGCAAGCCCAAGAGCTGGAGGTTGCTGTGAGCTGTGATGCCACGGCACTCTACCAAGGGCAACAAAGTAAGACTCTGTCTCTAAATATATATATATATATATATATACACTACTTTAGTAAAGATTATATTGGCCTATAACAGGAAACTCCAACATACAGCAATTTAAGCAAAATAGATGTTGATTGCTCCTCACATAACACTCTACACCAGCGGTTCTCAACCTCTGGGTCGCAACTCCTTTTTAACAATGTAAATACACTGTGGCATTAGGAAGGTTGAGAACTACTGCTCTACACAAACAGCCTAGGCCTAGTACAACACTTCATCCTTTTTCAGGGACCCAGGCTCTTTTTATCTTATTTTGTCACCACTCACAGGATATAGGTTCCACCTCATGATCTAGAATGGCTGCTTGTGCTCCAGCCGTCATGTTCACATTCCACCCAATAGAAAGAATGAGGGGATGAAAAAGGCATGGCCCTGCCATCTAAGGTGGCTTTCTAGAAATTGCATATACTGCTTTACCTTACATCTTATTGTCCGTATTTTTGTTCCATGACCTTATCTAGTTGTAAGAGAAGTTGGGAAATGTAGACTTTTGTTTGGGCAGCAATGTGCCCGGTTAATATACCAATGAAATGGTAGGAGTTGCTCACACATGTAGTTTGACCATCTCTCTCTTCCTTTCTTTCTGCCCTGGTCTGGCTGGCAGTGGGCACTGGCCTGGGGGGCAACTGCACGGGCTGTATCACCTGCTCAGAGGAGAACGGCTGCTCCACCTGCCAGCAGAGGCTCTTCCTGTTCATTCGCCGGGAAGGTATCCGCCAGTACGGCAAGTGCCTGCACGACTGTCCCGCTGGCTACTTTGGCATTCGCGGCCAGGAGGTCAACAGGTGCAAAAGTATGTGTCTCCTCCCTTGGGCTGGGCTAGTGCTGGGCTCCTGGACACTGCAGCCTCAGATCCTGCCCTCTCACCCTAACACAGCCAGAGGATTTGCGCCTAAGCCTGCTCTGAGATATCAGCTTCATTCCAGGCTGTCTCTGCAGCCTTAGGCCAGTTGGTCCCCTCTTAGCTTTAATCAGCCCTTATGGGACAGAGAAATTTCATTTGTACCCAAATTTACTGTGTGGGCTTGGGCATGTAAGCTCTCTGGTCTTAGCTCAAATGGGAAAAGGAGTCCAAACTCCTAACTTTAATTTTCACTGTGACCCGGGACAAGGCATTACTGTCTCTGATCCTTGGTAAAAAAGAAGCAGGGAGTCCTCACTCTCAGCCTAAACTGGCGGTGTAACTTCAAGAAAGTCACTTGTTTTCTCTGAGCCTCAGCTCAAATGAGAACAGCAACTCCTTCATTTGCAGCAGCCCAGTTTGACCTTGACCAAGTCTGAGCCCCAAAGGAGACACTGAGTTCCGACCCTAGTGCTGCAGAGCATGGCGCTGCTTAGAGGCTCTCCCACCCACACCCAGGGCCCCCTCTGTGGTAGCTGCCCTCACCCAGGTGTCCCGGCTTTATTACAGAATGTGGGGCCACTTGCGAGAGCTGCTTCAGCCAGGACTTCTGCATCCGGTGCAAGAGGCGGTTTTACTTGTACAAGGGGAAGTGTCTGCCCACCTGCCCGCTGGGCACCTTGGCCCACCAGAACACACAGGAGTGCCAGGGTGAGTGGGGACCTCCTTGCCCTGCCCCTCCCTCTCCCTCCCAGGAGCAAGGGCTTGATGAGAGGTGTCAGGAGACCTGGAAGACATCAATCAAATGCCATGTGGTGAGCCCTAACACCACCATGTCAGGTACTCTGGGCACCTACATGTGGCACTACTGCAACATACTAACACCAGCATGACCACCATCGTTATGGCCAAGGTTGGCATCATTATTTTTATTACCAAGGGAAGCAGCAGGAAACTAAAAGAAAAGCACTGATATTGGAATAAGACAGACCTGGAATCAAATCCTAGTAGTTATCTTAAGCAAGTCACATCAGATCTCTGTCCCTCCATTTCTCTAAAGAGTAAAAGAAAAAGTTAGACTAGAACACGGAACCTATGTCCTGGGGAAGGCTTGTTGTGAGGATTGAATGAATTAAAACAATTTGAAGAGCTCAGTACAGCAGCCGGCATGCAATAAATGCTGGCTACATATCAAGGTCATTATTATTACCACTCTGATTGTCTCCTGACAGCTCCTTGTCTGTGAATGCTCTTCCGTGGGCTGTTATTACACAATGATGTTCCCTGAATCCTCACCTGAACCGTGTATCTCTGCCTACACATCCTCTCTGGGCTCACATTCATGGTCATTGTAACAGCTGACTCACCACATCTTGTCCTGAGCAGCAGACTTATATCCCCACCTGCCCTCTGGGTGCCTCCCTTCCACCCCCAGCCCCAGCCCCAGCCTGATGCATCCTCTGGGATTCCTCCGTCAATAACCAGCTCTATTAACCCTGAGTGGCCATGCCCTAGATGCAAGCATCATTGTTCTCTCTTCTCTCTCCCTGACCCTACATCCAGTCCAATCTCTTCATGCATTCACTTTAAAAATATTTACTAGAGCATCCACTATGACCCAGCACTTTCCTAGGTGTTGGGAACATGGCAGACAAGGCCTCTGCCCTCAGGGATATGACATTTCAGTGGGGTGACAGAAGAGATGGGTGAAAATAAATGCGTAATGGTTGGGTGGCAGATAGAACTTTGGGGGGTAAAAAATGAAACAGCACAATGCTCTCAAACTCACCACACCCCCAACCATCTTTCCCCACCCGCCACGGTCTTCTTGCCACCCTCTGGCTGTCACTAGGATTCTGGGTACAGCCTCCTGCCAGTCTCCCTACTTAAGATCTGGCTCCCTCCTGCCCGTGCTCCACCCAGCAGTCTTATTTCAAAACAGCAGTCTGCTCAGGTTTCTCTTCTGCCCAAGGCCCTTCCCAGGTCCCATTGCCCTCAGGCAGAGCCGACCCAGCCCTGGGCAGTCTGGTGCCCCTCTGCGGGCCCCTTCACCCCCAGCATCTTTGAGGTCATGCTCCAGCTTAACCAGTTCTAGGTGGTTCTCACAGGCTCAATGCCTCTGAGCACTTTGCTGGGGTTACTCCATCCACCTGCCCCCTCCATGAACCCTTCTCCTCATCTCACCCCCTCTTCCAGACTCAGCTGAGGAGTCTCCTCCTCCATGACCCAGGCTTTTCTGGGATCCTGCTGCACCTGTCACTGCACTGACCACCCCTGCCTCCTAACCTAGTCTCTAGGAGGTGAATTCCAGGAGGCAAGCCAGGCCTGTCCTGTCTGCTGCCCCTCAGCACGCAGAATAGTTCCTGGAACAGAGCAGGTGCTCAGCCTTTACTAGTCAATGAATGCATCTAGTGACAAGTCCACAGTTAAAAGGTCTGGACCCCAGGCTGTGTTCCCTTAGCAAACCCTTCACCTGCTCTAAGCCTCAGTATCCTGATCTGCAAAATGGGCATATTGCTAGTTACCCCTATTCTATGTCTACTTCTCAGGGACTCTTTTTTTTTTTTTTTTTG